ACGGGGATTTGAGCCCCCAAAAGCCGGACATGTCCGGGAAAATCCGGACGTATGGTAACCCTATTATAATTCTTGACATCTGATTTGTGTCCATTTATTCTTTTGCGTAGAGACTGTCCGGTTTGGCCAATGTACATGGCAGAGGGGCATTGCTGGCATATGATGGCATATGTCACATTGGTAGATGTGCAGGTGAATGAGCCCCTGATGGTGTGGCTGATGTGGTTAGGTCCTATGATGTCCCTTAAATAGATATGCGGACAGAGTTAGCAACAAACCCAATGGGGCTTGTTGAGAAACTGCAGAACTGGAATTAATTTGCAAACTGGACACCATCAAATTAGGCCTGAATAAAGACTGGGAGTGTATGACTACAAAACCTAGTTTCCCCTACTGTTACTCACACCTTCTTGTCAACTGTTTGAAATGGGCCACCCAGATTACATTAGCCTCATTATCCGGGCCGTCCCTACCTATACGCAAAGTACGCAGCTGCGTAGGGCACCAGGAAATTTGGGAAATTTTCCTGGTGCCCTGCGCAGCTGTGTGCTGTTCCAGCCCTTGCCCCACCTCTTCCCCATGGCCCTCACCCCTGCTCCGCCCCAGACCCACCTCTTCCCACGCTTGTTCTCGCCCCAATCCCACCCCCACTCCACCCTTTCCCCAAAACCCCACCCTGCTCTGCCCCCGCCCCGCCACCACTCTTCTGAGGACTGCACCAGGGCCGGGCCTGCACTCACTGGTGGTGGGAAGTGCAGCGACCCAGCCACGCCGCCGGTTAGTGCTGGGGAGTGGGTGTTCCCTCCTGCCCCCCAAGCCAGACCTCTCCACAGAGGCCTGGGGCCAGCTCTCCCTGCGGTCCCCCTGTGGAGGCCTGCCCCCTCCCCGCAAGGGGACTGCGTAGGGCCCCAGAATAGCTAGGGACGGCCCTGCTCATTACCACTACAAAAGTGATTTTTCCTCCCTTGGTATTCTACTGTTGAGAATAGCCCACTTCCACTTTAATTGAATTGTCTAGTTAACACTGACCCCCACTTGGTAAGGCAACTCCCATCTTTTCATGTACTGTGTATATATACCTGCCTACTGTATTTTCCATTCCATGCATCTGATGAAGTGGGTTTTAGCCCATGAAAGCTTATGCCCAAATACATTTGTTAGTCTCTAAGGTGCCACAATGACTCCTCATTGTTTTTGCTGATACAGACTAATACAGCTACCACTCTGAAACATATATGTGTGTAATTTATACTGCAGAGCGGGAAAGAGCAATTTTTATGTAATTATATTAGAAAGGAATTGTGATATATCATCTATATAAAAATTTGTAATAAAAAATGCCAGCAGTACCTCTGAAGATATGCCCAGTGCTCATTTTGCTTGTGTCAACCAGACTGAAAGCTTTAATTTTTTCAGTCTATTATTTGCTCATCCAATCCAAAAATATAGACTGTACAATTTAAGAAGAGCAATCTGTAGCAAATCAAAGTAATAAAAAATTCCATCTGTCCACTAAAGCAACGATCACACAGCCCAGTGTATGGATCATATATATCATGACATTCCATCAAAAATGACAAGAATGCTTTTTTTAACATAGTTCAGTACATCATGAAAACCATAGAACAGAATAGACTGACAGTTCTTTATTAAGAGTGCATTCATTCTAGAGCTAGACATAAAAAGCATGCCCAAATTCTGTTAAAAAAATCAGATTAAAATATTGCTGCAGAAAGTGAGTGATGCAATGGAATGATTCTGGTCAATCTCACAGGTCTGACATTATACATCTGTCAGATTATAGACCACAAACAAGAAATGTTTTACAAGTTCCACATTTTCTATTTATGTTGTATAGCATGGGGCTGTGACAATGACTCTGTAGTTGAGGTTCAAACTTACTTTACATTATCATACTGATTTTAATGCCTTCCCTCACTTCACTAAAATGCAATAATTCTGCCTATAATTTCTCATGTGTGGTCATGTGCCAAGGGATATTTATTTATTTAAGTTTGGGAATAACTGGATAAGGCAGTTGAGAAATTTGAGAAGTTGCATATTTGCATTTGTGAAATTTTCCAAACTTCTTTGAAACATTTTCCAGAATGGCTTGGTATAGAATTTGAGTCTACAAACATTTATGCGTGTCTTTAATGTCAACTGCAGTCAAAATCAATGGGACTTCTCCTGTGTCATATTAAGCATGTGCATAAATCTTTGCAGGATCACAGTGTAATTTTGGAGCTACCTACAGTTCTTTTGAACCTATGACAACTTCAGGAGCACTCTGAGATGTTTATAAATTCCATAGGCTGTTTGGTTTCATGGGTGGCTAGAAAACACTTTAGCTTCTTTTCTTGGGCCTTGGTGTCTTCATTTAGGAGACTTCTACACACAGCTTGCATTGCTTGCCCAGAGAAGCATCACAAACTATCCTTTTTAAAAGGGTTTTACAAATAAAAGTAATGCTCATGAAAGATCCCAGACTGAATTTCTAAATTTATCCACACAACAGGAAATGCAGCAACATGGAACTCTGGAAGTCTGAGGTGGACATTTTAAGTTTGTACTTTAGCAATTCTTTAAGCAACTGGGACACAACAGACAATCAATACTAAAAACTAACATAAACAATGTAGAGATTAACAAAAACAGTACAGCAACATACTAAAATTGTTCTAACAATAGAAACGCATTACAATTTATGGAATTTAGTTGCACATAAGTTTAGAAGATGAAAAAAAGAATAACAAAATAAAATATAATTAACTCAACTGAAAGGTTAAAAACTATATAGAGTAAATGGAATAAGTGTACGGAGAGTTTCCAACCCCAAACATAAAAAAATGAATGATACTAAAAAAAAAAAATCAAAAAAATCAAAACATTCCCACCTGTGGCTTTTCACGGGGGAGGGGACTATTTAGCCTCATGTATATAGGACTTGATTAATAAAGAAATGAAGTAGGATAATATCATTAATGCCAATCAAGATGGGTGTTTGGAAAAAATAGATCTTGTCAAGTGAACTTGATATCTTTTTTATGACATTTTGATTAAGAGACAAGAATGATATGAAATTGAATATGACACACATTAAATGGATTCAAAATTGGCTAACTAACAGGTTTTAAAATGTAACTGTAAATGGGGAATCACTATCAAGGGTCTGTGTTTCCAGTAGGGTCCTGCAAGGAATTGGTTGTTGGCCCCAAGTTACATAATATTTTTATCAATGACCTAGAAGAAAACAAAATCATCACTAATAAGTTTGTAGATGACACAAAGATTGGGGGAGAGGTGAATTACTGATACAGAGAGATCTGAATCACTTGGTAAACTAAGCACAAGCAAACAATGTATTTCAATACCGCCAAATGTAAAGTCCTGCATGTAGGAACAAAAAATGCGGGCCGTACATACAAGATTGGGCTTTGCCATGAGCCCTGTGTATGAGGCAGCATGTTGTTGTGTTGCCCCCAGGAGCAGCCTAGGAAGCAGATTGTGACTCAGCCACAATCTGCCATCCAGTTTCCGCTTTCTCTGGTGGGAACATGCCCTTGTATCTGGCATAGCATACATCCTTTGGCATGCTTTCAAAGCTGCGCTGCCTGGCATATTGTGAGGATGGATTGTTAGGAGTTGAGCGAGGGGCAAAGTCAGATTTATGACGAGAGGGTAGCAAGAGGGACGTGGCAGTTGGATCAGGGCTTGAGTCTTGGTGAAGCACATTTGTTCCAGCACTTGCTATGACTGTAAGTGGTCACGGCTTTTTTTATTAGGGTGGAGGACAGAAGGCAAGGAAAGGCAGCAACACCTGAAAGCAAGTAATTCATTGGAGGAAGGTATAGGATGTTTGGGAGAGGGTTAGGAAACCAGATGAAGGGAAAGACTTGCTTGGCAGGAGGGTTGGGATCTGAGAGGTTGCTGGGTACCTGTCAAGAGGGTAGCTTGAGAGGTTAAAAGCTGCATCAGTTTGTGAATGTGTTAAGTCATCCATCTCAGCATTGTAAGAGTTAAAAATAAGGTCTCTTACTGTATCAATCATGAGAAATGCCTGCTTCAGTGATGGATATGCATTTTGGATGTGTCTGCGCAGCTTTAGAAGGATACTGTTACTTGAGAAAGCTTCATCCATTCCTCTGATTGGGTGTACTCTACAACAGGAAAACATGGTTGACACAATGTTCTCATCTCTCATCCTCTTACTCTTCAGAGTAGGGAGAAAATGTAAACTCATTAAGGCCAAAAGCTTAGTAGGACTCAAAAATATGCTTAGACATTTATATGGATAATGAGAATATCCGCAAAAGATTACCTGAAGTAAATTTAATCAACAATTATTTCAGTAGATATAATTTTCCATCAAGTTCAAGTACATCTCAAACAAAAAAAATGTAATTTTCTACTTACCTGTGGTTCTTTCTTATAGGAAGTGTCTGTCCATTTTCATATGTCAGAGGGTCCTGAAATTTCTCTAAAAATTGATGCCAGGCAATTTTACCTGTGGCTTTAAATCCAAATCTGGTCAAACAAAGATGTAAGAACTGTTTAAAAAGACTTCCTTTTGTAAACACTGTTATAACTACATTTTCCAGAGAGAATTTTGGCTTGTGACAGAAATTTATGCAATCTAGTCTGAGTTTACATAGCTTAAAATTTTACAAAAAGTATGTGGCAAATTTCAACGATAAAACAAGTTGGGCCAAATTCCCTTCTGAGTTCCACCAGTCTAACGGAAGAAAGAACTAGACCTGATCAGATGGTTCTGGTTTTATCCGAACTGAAAACCCTTAAATTTAGAAGTGTTAGAATGCATTTATAAGGCATTAATGGCCAGATTTTGTCAACTTCACTCATGTTGAGTAGTATTTTACTCTGTGAATAATCCCTTTGAAATCAGTGAGGGCTTGATTTTGCTCCCCTTGAAGTCAGTAGCTCCCATTTAACTTCAGTAGTGCAGGATCAAGCCCTAAGTAAGTGTGGCAAAACACGTTCCTAAATTAGATGGTGTCTTTTAAGCACTGTCACCAATTTATTTAGAAAAAATGTGATGACTCACTGCTTTACTCATTTCAACAAAGTTTTAAATATCTATTCCTGAAGCCTGTTAGAATGGTGTTATGCTGTGTTTGGAGCATGACTACCAAGGTGAGGTTTAAACAACAATAAAATGGAATAAGGGGTTAACAGGACAACAAATAGTGGAAAGACTTTTGTGGAGCTCCCACAAAAAACTCCATCCTCAGAAGTTCATTAAGTTTATCAAGCTCAGCCAATGAAATTCCAAGTTGGAAGAATTACACCATCAGAACAATCATTCATTGGCTGATCAAAACCTGAGGGTAGAACAGTTTTTCTATCCAGTTCTTCTTAAAGCTGACTTTTTTTCAAAATTAACCCACTTACAGGTGTAACATATACACCACAGTTCACTGGCTTGAGGGAAAGTTTATTAAAAAAACTGGGGGAAATAGTTTCATAATCATAATATTTGTCTGAAACAATAATCAGATAGGAAATAACAGATTATCTTTCAAATTAAGACGCAGCCAACTGATATTTTCAACCCCTAACTGAGATCTTTCCCATGTCACATTTCTGTGGTTCTATAAATCACGCAAAAGTACACTGTAGGGAAAAATTATACATTGGAAACAAGCAAACAGATGGATCTTGGTCTGCATTATTGTCCCCAAGATCCTCACAAACAGAGGCCCTTTCCATGTGTCTGACTACCCCCTTCTTCAGCTACCTCAACACCTCAGAGGGCAACTGCCATGGTGCCAGGGAGCTGGGGAGAGCACAGCATGGCTACTAGGGGCCAGAGCTGATGTAGCAGCACAGGGAATCAGCATGGATCCCTGAGGATCCACACAGTTTGACAGCAGGCTTCCTTTTCTGCAGGATAGAGAATTTCCACCCCAATTAGATGATGTAGTAGAATCGTTGAAAAACAATCATCACTGATTTCAGAGTAGCAGCTATGTTATTCTGTATCCGCAAAAAGAACAGGAGTACTTGTGGCACCTTAGAGACTAACAAATTTATTTGAGCATAAGCTTTTGTGGGCTACATCCCACTTCTTCGGATGCATAGAATGGAACATATATTGAGAAGAAATATATACACACACATACAGAAAGCATGAACAGGTGGGAGTTGTCTTACCAACTCTGAGAAGCCAATTAACTAAGAGAAAAAAAAACTTACTGAAGTGATAATCAAGATAACCCAGTACAGACAGGTTGATAAGAAGTGTGAGAGTACTTACATGGGGTGATAGATTCAATGTTTGTAATGGCTCAGCCATTCCCAGTCTTTATTCAAACCTAAATTGATTGTGTCTAATTTGCATATCAATTCGAGTTCAGCAGTTTCTCGTTGGAGTCTGTTTTTGAAGCTTTTCTGTTGTAAAATAGCTACCCACGGGTCTGTCATTGAATGACCAGACAGGTTAAAGTGTTCTCCCACTGTTTTTTGAGTATTATGATTCCTGATGTCAGCTTTGTGTCCATTAAATCTTTTGCGTAGAGACTGTCAGGTTTGGCCAATGTATATGGCAGAGGGGCATTGCTGGCACATGATGGCATATATCACATTGGTAGATGTGCAGGTGAACGAGCCCCTGATGGTATGGCTGATGATGATGTCACTTCAATAGATATGTGGACAGAGTCGGCATCGGGCTTTGTTGCAAGGATAGGTTCCTGGGTCAGTGTTTTTGTTCAGTGATGTGTGGTTGCTGGTGAGTATTTGCTTCAGGTTGGGGGTTGTCTGTAAGCGAGGGCAGGTCTGTCTCCCAAGATCTGTGAGAGTGAGCGATCATCTTTCAGGATAGGTTGTAGATCTTTGATGATGCGCTGGAGAGGTTTTAGATGGGGACTGAAGGTGACAGCTAGTGGTAGTCTGTTATTTTCTTTGTTGGGCCTGTCTTGTAGGAGGTGACTTCTGGGTACTCGTCTGGCTCCGTCAATCTGTTTTTTCATTCAGCAGGTGGGTATTGTAGTTTTAAGAATGCTTGATAGAGATCTTGTAGGTGCTTGTCTCTGTCTGAAGGATTGGAGCAAATGCGGTTGTATCTTAGAGGTTGGCTGTAGACAATGGATCTTGTGGTGTGTCCTGGATGGAAGCTATTGGCATGTAGGTCAGTAGGTTTCCGGTACAGGGTGGTATTTATGTGACCATCGCTTATTAGCACGGTAGTGTCCAGAAAATGGACTGCTTGTGTGGATTGATCTAGGCTGAGGTTAATGGTGGGATGGAAATTATTGAAATCATGGTAGAATTCCTCAAGGGCTTCCTTTCCATGGGTCCAGATGATGAAGATGTCATCAATGTAGCGCAAGTAGAGTAGGGGCATTAGGGGACGAGAGCTAAGGAAGCGTTGTTCTAAGTCAGCCATAAAAATGTTGGCATACTGTGGGGCCATGCGGGTACCCATAGCAGTGCCGCTGACTTGAAGGTATATATCGTCCCCAAATGTGAAATAGTTGTGGGTGAAGACAAAGTCACAAAGTTCAGCCACCAGGTTAGCTGTGACATGATGTAGCCCACGGAAGTTTATGCTCAAATAAATTTGTTAATCATCACTGAGATTGTCTCCCACAAAGCCTCTTCCCATGGGTTTTATCATGGGAGGGGATGAATAAGATGTACTTAGCACCTGGAACTCCCACACACCTCAATGGGAACTGCACATGCTCAGCACTTCTAAGTACTGGGCTCTGCCTAACAACACGTGTCTTTTCCATCCTTAATTTTCATGGGTGAAATCCAGAAATCTTACATATGCAAAACACTCATTGAATTCACTGGGAGTAAAACCTGTGTGAAGACTTCAGGATTTTGTGATTCCAAAGCAATTCTATGTCTAGTAGAAAATAGTTAGTTCTTATATAGCACTTTTCATCTATAGATCTCAAAGTGCTTTACAAAGAAGGTAAGAGGAAGTTAAGGGTGCTCTATTGTAGGTGTATCTGCGCCCCACACCTCTAATTGGAGATTGTAGGTAGCAGTGTCCATTCAACCATTTGAGCTCATCCACTACCCTATTAGAAAGGTCTTGAAAGTATCTAAAATCATCAGCTAGCGATAGAGGAGGGGGCATCATAGCCTCATCTGGTGATGATGAGGAAATGTTTGCTGGTGGGTAGCCTCCATTTTGAGCCTTTCCTCCTGTTCCTCCAAAGTTTTCTCCTCTGGTTCTGGGGTTCTGGACACCGAAGCCGTAGGACAAAGTCTGGTGGACTCTCTATGAGAGACACTGGATGCTTGAGAAGCGTGGGGTCTGTACATTGCCCAAGGATTCCAATATGGCCACTGGGGGGGGCGGATGCCTGGGTTGGGGGGTGCCCAGGGAGGACCGTATCAGGATTGAAGGGCGGCATGAAGGTGTAGTTGGGGAGGTCCCTGATATTGTGACGGTGGACCACAGTGAGAGGCCAGGGAAATAACATCATCCTGGTCACTGTCAGACTTCTCACTGGGTAGGGGAGGTGCTGACCAGGGTGCTGGTGGCAAATGTCCTGGTGCCATTGGTGATTCTGGATGTCGAGACATGCATGGTACTGGGGCCCCGCTACTGAGTAGTGGGGTTTCTGGAGCGTCCCTGCTGTTTCTGGGTACCACGCTTTGAAGAGCTGGTGCTGTTGGACCAACGTGGCCGAGCATGCCAGGGAACCCCTCTGGCTGGCGAAAGACTCTGTTTGCGGGCTTAAAGCCCTTTTTTTCAAGTCTCTGCAGAGGAAATCTGCTGAGCTTTTTTGCGAGTCTATCCCTTTGGAGGTTGAAGGGTCCCGGGACAATCTGTGTCCTTGAGAAGCTTCAGCACCAGAGTCAGCTGGTGACCAAAGCACACCCTCCACCAGGAGAAGTTTTAACTTCAGCTCCTGGTTCATGCGAGATCTCATCTTTAGCTGGTGGCAGAAGGTGCACTTCTGTGGGATGCATGCCTATTCAAGGCACCAGATACAGTGAGATTGTCCATCTGTTACTGGAACTGGTTCCTTGCAGGAGAGGATGCTTTTAAAACTGGGGGAATTGGTCATGCCCCGGGTGGAGATATCACCCTCAAAAAGGCTAGGAATGCAGAAGAAAGTTTTTTTGTTTCTTCTTTATTTTTTATTTCTTTATTTTTTAACAGGGAAAACGGAAACTCTAGACTACTAAGTGCCCCTGTAAGGGTAATCCCCCACAAAAAGAGCAGGAAACATGACACAAAAAGTTCTTTTTCTTTTTCCCTCCCAATTGGAAAATGAAAACTTAACTATTAAAAGATACTAAAAGACTAAGAATAACTACTACTTATACTAATGACGCAGAGAAGGAATAGACAACTGCTCGCTTAGTTTGAGGCCAAAGGTGGTTGATAAGGAACTGAGGGTGGTTCGCTCGCGCAGTGCTAAATAGCCTTGAGGCAAACCAGGACGCAGAGAGGGCACATGGGCAGGCTGAACGGACACTGCTACCTAACATCTCAGATTAGAGGTGCAGGGGCGCAGATACACTTACAGTGGAGCACC